TTTTTTTTTTTTTTTTTTTTTTTTTATCATCAGTGCTTGCCTGTGACAAATGCTCATCTAAAGGTATATTGCTTTTCTGGATTGTGTGGGTGGCTCAGTCGGTTAAGCATCCAACTTCAGCTCAGGTCATGATCTCGCAATTCACGAGTTGGAGCCCCACGTCAGGCTCTGTACTGATAGCTCACAGCCTGGAGCCTGCTTCGGATTCTGTGTTTCCCTCTATCTCTCTGCCCCTCCCCCACTCGTAGTCTGTGTCCCCCTCTCTCTCTTAAAAATAAATAAAACATGTAAAATTAAATAAATAAAGATATATTGCTTTCCTTCCATAATTCCCCACTTTGACCACTGGAGGGGTTCTACATGGCATGGAGCATCTTCAGTGCTGAAATGGATCTGAACACTGACAAATGCCATATTGCTTTGGTGTTGTAGGGCATGTAGGGGCACCTCTGCCCTGCAATCATATCAAGCTCGTCGATGTCGAGGAACTGAACTATTGGACCTACAAAGGAGAGGGAGAGGTAAACTTAGGAATTTAGCTGTGCATGTCTGTGGATGCCACATAGAGTGAGTGAAAGGGAATTATTTTTCTTTCACCTTACATGTAAAGTCACTTTAAATTACTGATTTATTTGACTCTGTTTAATTCAGCATTTCCTCTCCTATTTATGAAGCAACCAACCCCCAAGGTTGGGACTGGGCTGGTCTAAATCAAGACTTGAAATTCCCAAACTTATTTTTTTAATTCTTTTTTTTTTTTTTTTCCTGACTTGGCCTGTTACTATGTTTCTGTCCCAGCAGAAACAGTACCACTTGCAGCTAGGCCAGAAGGGGTAGGTAGTGCTGGCCTGTCCTTGTTTACCGTATGGGAGTAGATGAGAAAGCTGACTGCCTAGTCATGAAGAAGAGGGCTCAAGCATGTCTGGGGAATTAGCCAGTCATCAATACCTGAGGAGACCCCATCCAGTGTCACAAAGCAGCATATGCTAAAGGGAGGGAGGGAAGGAGGCCTGGGATGGCCAGGACAGGGAGAAGAGATGGCAAGGACAGAAGATGGTGTTTAAGAGAAGCAGGAGACAGGTGACAATCTGCTGGTAGCTGCTCCTGTCCTCTCTCTCTGCCACTGCATTCTCCTCAGTGCATTTCCTGAGGAATAGGATACCTTATTCTATGTGTGTCTCACACCAGCCTCCCTTCAGGACCCCTCATGCTGTGGGCTGACAGAAACCTGGTGTTTGTCCCCACAGATATGTGTGAGAGGACCAAATGTGTTCAAAGGTTACTTGAAAGATCCAGACAGGACAAAAGAGGCCCTGGACAGTGACGGCTGGCTTCATACTGGGGACATTGGGAAATGGCTACCGGTGCGTATGTTTGCAACCATGGCTCCTCATACATGCTGGTGGTGCGAGGGTGTGTAATCTGGTTCACTTCGGAGGCAAAAGTCTTCTCCTTACCTGCCCTGACAATTAGCCATTCAGGAACTGAATTAGCCATTCGGGGATTGGGAGGTTCTTCCTTACCTTGCCCCCAAAAGCTTTCTTGTCCATCCTCCTGATAAAGGGGATAGAGATCTTTATGGGAGGGTAGAGCTGGAGTTTAAGATCCACTCCCTACCTTATCTCTTTCTCTGATACAGATCAGACAGTGCTGTGGAATCCAGTGGGTGGAGTGCAAGACACAGGGAGTTCATAGCCCTGGGAGGTCTGAGAAAGGCAGGGCCCAGGAGCCCACAGATGCTGGCCCCTAGCCAAGAGGTTGCACCGAGCAGTGAGAAAAGCTTGGAACTGGGTGGGAGGGTATCTGAGTTCCTTTGGCTCCGTCAGCAGTTGCTCTGAGGCCTTTTCCCGAAGTCTCATCCCTCTCTGGGGCCACAGACTTTTTTGTGGAGTAAAAGAGTAAGGCTACATGACATTCTTTGGCTGTGACGCAGCCAGACCCAGTTGTTGGGCCTCATTCTGGCATTTGTAAAGTGGGGATAATGACACTGCTTACCTCTACGGTTGTTGTGAGGAACAAATGAGTTACACCTGCAGAGCAGTTAATACAATGCCTGGTGCACGGGACATATTTAGATAAAAACTGTGACCAGGAAAAGGCTCTGTCACTGGAACCAAGAGCCTCTCCCCTGATGCAGCCGACCCCACAAATCTCCCCTGTGTCTTTGGGAAGTTGCTAAGGTTTAGGGTGGCCATTCAGAAACGAGTTTGTTGGGCACATGAATGATGCTGAGCCCTGCAGTGGTCCTCTGGGCTGGTGAGCCGATTTGCCCCTGCTTGAATTGAGAAACCCTCATTCCTGTAGCAGACATGGAAGTATACCGTATATGTACACTGGGCCAGGGACTCTGCTCAGAGGAAAGATGCATCTTTAGACAGTTCACAGGCCAATATGATGGGCATAAGCTGAGGGCCATGCTCACCTGGGGAGAGGCAGAGGAGGACAAGCACCTGCTGGAGTCTTCGGATGTGAGTCATGTTCTGAGGAGAGAGGAGAGAGTGAGGGCGGTCAGAGCAGAAGAGCGAGCGCATGCTGAGTAGAGAGACACTGGAGGTGTGAGGCAGGTGATTCTAACTGAGGCCCCCCAGGTGTGGAGGAGGGGGCCCAGAGAGGCAGCAGGGTCCTGCAAGCCGGCTAAGGGGGGATTGTCCCATCAGCTCAGGAAGCTTGGGCTCAGGGCCCCTCACTTACAAAGGTAACTTCCAAGCCTCTGCCCTTCGTTTCATCTTATTTTTCTGAAAGAAGGAGGCCCCTCAAGTATGGAAACTGCTTGAAGCTCCACAGAACCTTGGATCTGCTCCTGACTCCCTATAATTTGGATGCAACCACCCACCTTGCAGGGTGTTATAAGAAGCAAGTAAACTAATTCATGTGGAGACCTAGTGTTGTGATTCCACTAAGAGCCTAAGACAGCAGGCAGGCGGTCTGGAGGAGTCCATTTTTTAAAAATTATTATTGTTTTGAAAAGGTATTAGAGAGATTAAAGAAAAGAGATAAACTTCTGATGCAGAAAGACTTAATTCAAATCCTGGTTTCCCTACTTTCAAGCTGTGTGACTTTGGAGGAATTAACTAACCTCTCTCATCCTCACTTTCATCATCTGTAAAATGGAGGTGATGACAACCAGCTGAGGGGATGCCAGGAGGGCCAAAGAAACCAGTATAGGGAAAGTGCCTAAGGTCCAGCCTGGGTTTTGAACGACACAGAATCGGTTGGCTTTTTCTTTTCTGGAGAGATTGCTCTGCTTTGGCTAATCAAACAGATAGAGGGGAGGGACAGAGTGTATGCAGAAGCCCGGCCAGGAAGTGGTTTTGATGGGAGAAGGAGGGGGTGTGAGAGGGATTTATGATTGAGGACAATGAGCCTGACTGTTAGAAGTCCCAGGAGAGGCAAATAGCAAGACCATCTCCCAAGTTTGGGGCATGGGGGCTGGGACAGGCATGAGGAAGACAGAGATGGGCTTCCTTAGTGGCCTGTTTGTAACATGCAGGGCAAACGGTCTGGTTTCTGAAGCATTCTGAGTGTTAGGTTCTGGGCCTGCAATTCAGTGAAGAAGTTTGGCTGGATGGTTAGGCAGAAGTGGGAATGGCCAATGAATGAAGAAATAAATGGGGGTTATTTCAAGTAACATTGTCAGTGGAGGTAAGGAGGGTTGAGTCAAGGAAAGAGACCCACCTCTTCACCTGAGAAACTCAAAGAGGTTGAATAGAGTCAGTGAGGTGGGGGGAAGAGGGGTTCTAGAAGCCAGGGCCACAAGCACTCACTGACCAAGGGGTGGCCTGCCTGCTGCAGAGGCCCTGGAATGGTGAGGACTCCTGATGCATCTTGTCTGTCAGGTAGGAGCCTCTACCAGGCTATGCTGTAGGCTGGGCAAGGGAGAGGCCACTCTTTGGGAGTAGAGGCAGTAACTGGGCAGAGAAGCCTAGGTTTTGTTTGAAGGAGTGAATTTGAAGATGGTGGTGAGAAAAGGGACAGTTGGAGCAAGGGCCTGGGTGAGAGGGGAGCCAGGACACAGGTAGATGGGCCTCCTGAGGATGGGGACACCTGTTGTTGGGCATGAGGGTGGCAGGCATGGGAACAGAGAGTTGGGGGAGGGAGGTAAGTGCTGAGGGTGGGCACTCAGGGTCCAGCAGATCTTGAAAAGCATCAACCTGTGGTGCAGGGTGGCCCTCTCCAGCCACACAGGGGACATGTAAGAGCAGAGACCTCAGATGAAGGAGCAGATCCAGGTGGGGTTTGCAGGGTGGGATGGGACAGGGGTGAGGGGCTATGGCACCATTGAGTCAGGGGTTTAGGCTCAAGAATGCTATCTTTTCACGAAGCTGTTTGTCCAACTCCACAGGCAGGAACTCTTAAAATTATTGATCGGAAAAAGCACATATTTAAACTTGCTCAGGGTGAATATATTGCACCCGAGAAGATTGAGAACATCTACATACGGAGTGAGCCTGTGGCACAAATCTTTGTTCACGGGAACAGCTTAAAGGTGAGTCTCCTGTGCTTCAGCCCTTCCGCATGTACTGGGCCTGCTGAAAAATCTAGAGTTATTTGGGAATAATTTCATAAATCTTTGGTACTTGATTACAGTGGTAAACATTAATTTCCAGTCAGACACTGATATTCTCCTACGTATTAGATCATGAGAGAAAATTCTTTTTTTAAAAAAGAATAAATGTTTATTCATTTTTGAGAGAGAGAGCATGAGCTGGAGAGAGGCAGAGAAATGTGAGATCATGACCTGAACTGAAGTCGTATGCTGAACTGACTGAGCCACACAGGTGCCCCATAATTGCTTTTTTAAGATGTTTATTTATTTATTTTGAGAGTGAGAGATCAGGGGAAGGGCAAAGAGGGAAAGAGAAATCCAAGCAGGCTTTTCGCTGTCAGTGCAGAGCCCAACATGGGGCTCCATCCCATGAACCACAAGATCATGACCTGAGCTGAAATCAACAGTTGGTTGATTAACCAACTGAGACACCCAAGTGCCCCGGGAGAAAATTGCTTTTAAATGAGAAATCTTACTTGCTTATAGTTTGATAAATTGCAATTAGGTAAATAAGTTGCTTGAAATAGTAGTAATGAACATTCCCATTACTTTTAACTTAGGCTCCACCTACTTCCAAGAGGGATTTTGAGGTAAGATGCCAAAGCAGGATTCAGGGTTTCTGCTGTTTAGATTTTGAAATATGCAAATGAACTTTACAGACAAATGGGTACAGTATTGCAAATAATGGTAATGATGATAACATAGCTTAATATATTGGTTCAGTATATTAAACTATTATGTTAACATAGTTTGGGATTAAATTATTTGCAGAAGATTTATATTTATTCTCCTTTCAGCATCATTTACACTTGAAGTCAGCAAGATCACTGTGAACATATTCTGTGCTATCATTGCATTTATATAAACAACTATTATTAAATTATTTTTTAAGACAATGCCCTTAAAAATTAAAATGGAATTCTTCATGACTGGGGACCATATCAATAAAACATTTTCAAACTGGTGAGAAACCCTGAGAAATACATGTGTTTTGGTTCATAGAATTTTTTGAATGGCATCCTAAAGGTGTTCTCATTTAAGATGAGCATGAAATGATCTCATGGTTCGTGAATTCAAGCTTTGCATTAGTCTCTGTGCTGACAGCATGGAGCCCCCTTGAGATTCTTTCTCTCCTCTCTCTCTGCTCCTCCACTGTTCTCTCTCTCTCTTTCTCTCTCCCTCTCAAAAAAAAAGAAAAAAGATTGGCATGAGAATCAGATACATGTAGGTCTAACTTTACTGATTCTTAATCACATTAAGCTTATCCTTTATTAACTTTTTAAAAAAACTTAAGTGGGGCACCTGGGTGGCTCAGTCGGTTGGTCATCAGACTTCAATTCAGGTCATGAAGTCACAGTTAGTGAGTTCAAGACCCACATCAGGCTCTCTGGTGTCAGCTCACAGCCAGCTTTGACTCCTCTCTCTCCCCTGTCTCTCTCTGTCCCTCTCCCTCCCGGTCCCCCCAGCTCTCTCTCTCTCTAAATAAACATTAAAAAGAAAAAATTTTTAAAAAGTTAAGGAAATATATCAGAAAATAGTCAAGATGTGTGTTGTTTTGATGGAAATGTATCATAACATAAAGATGTACTTATTTTTAGAAAAGGGTGGAATCTGAGAATACCAAGAGATTATTTTTAATGCTGGACCACAAATAACCACTTTGAAAGCATTTGTAATGACTGTGTTTTCCTTTGGTTGGGATTGCAGGCCTATTTGGTGGGCATTGTTGTGCCTGACCCTGAAGTAATGCCCTCTTGGGCTCAGAAGAGAGGAATTGAAGGGTCATATGCAGAGCTCTGTGCAAATAAGGTCTGTACCTTGGCTGCTGGACCTCTTATGTTACTGTATAACAGGAGGACAGAAACACAGGAAAGCAGTGGATTTTGAACATGTAGGGAAATTTCTGACTTGACTTTATAAATGGTAGAAATCCTAAACTAGAGGTTCATCTTTTCATTATTGTTGTTGAAAAAATGCAGATTTCTTCTTAGAGAGTTGGATAAGCTGTTGAATTTTAGAGCTGGGAGACATCCCAGGAGGCTTGTCCCACCCTGCCATTTTGCAGCTTGCAGGAGAGTCCAGAGAGAGAGGGGGTTTACCAGAGGCCACACAGTTGATAGAGCTGCTTAGCAGCAGTATCCAGTGTGACTGTAGGCCTTCTAACTCATTGGCCTTGCTCTCTCCAAATGTGAGGTGGCTTTTGTGTGCACTGGGCTTAGTCAGTCATGGAATTGAAAAAGTAACTCAGTTCTTCCTGCTTAGAGCTTTACCACTCACACCTTCCCGAAGCCTCTTGGGCACATGTAGGGTCCTAGAGAAGAGATCCCTGTGCTCTGAGATCTCTGTGCTCTGGCTCAGCATCATCTCCTCCAGGCTCATGGCCCATTTTTCAGCAGCATCCATTGATCCTAGTGCTCCCACTGGGTCCTGGGCTCTTCTGGCGGTGACAGGATCCCTGGGACTCAGTAGGCTGAACAAAGAGCCACCTTAAAAAATGGATGGTCCCCTAGTCTGTTCATGGCCACTCCTCTGGCTGTGCCTGGCACTTACTTGCCTGATGAGAGGTGGTGGCTGTGTGTGGCCTGGAGCATCAGCCCCAGTGAGGGGGGTGGGGATTGGGGTGGGTGTTGGCACAACCATCAGCTGCATTTTGCTCAAAACTCGTTGTTTCCTGTACCTCCATTTTGAAATGTGTTTTTGCCTTGTAATTTTTTCCTATATGGTTCAATTCAGGAGCTGAAAAAAGCCATTTTGGAAGATATGGTGAGGTTAGGAAAAGAGAGTGGACTCCATTCGTTCGAACAGGTAACTATTACCTTCCCCATACCTTGTTATAGCCCTTTGTGCAGTGACAAAGATTAAACCAGCCCATGGTGACCCTGACCTAGATTCTCCACCCTCCATGCTGCAGCCCGTGGGCAGGCTATGTACCGACAGACCCCTGAAGGCCTGTTCCACGCCAACTCTGTGGAAGCCTCTATCCTGAGCTAAAATAGGTCATATGAGACTGCACTTGCTGTCCTCCTGATCACAGGCATTGGTAAAGCTGAAATATTACCCTCACTGTCACTAGCCGAGTATGTGCACACATGGTTGGCCTGTCTCCACGCTGCCTGCAATACTTAAGACCCGAGTTCTTATTTTTATTTTTATGGAGACTGTCTTCTTGCCTGTGGCAGGCAAACTTAGTTGTTAGGCCATTGGAAAGATCATGTTTCTTGGTCCCATGATCTATCAGCCCAGCGTGTCTACCACAAAGGGGAGGAAACATAGAATATGCTGGGAGATGAGACAACAAGCAATACTCTAAGACTCTGTCTTTGCAGGTTTGGGGTTTTTACTGTAACTGAGTTCCTAAACAATGCAAGCTTGGTCCTACTCACCTACACCATTTATACATCCTCTCTAGTCAAAAAATCTAAAGAGAAAAATTTGTCAAGTAGAGAAATATTAATATTCTGAATTTTAAAAAAATTTCCAGGATGTCTTTAACATAATCATTTTTAATAAAATTATATTTCTCCAATAGGGTTCCCAAATACAGTGTTAGGGATCTGGACGGGTTGTGAGAATTTGGAGTTTTGTATGTTCATTTTAATGAAAACCTGAAAACATTTTTAAGTCAGTTTCCAATATAAAACTCTAATGGCAAGTATTTGCAATCAAAAACCATTTCTGCAGAATCAGACTTTAATTTCTTAAGTTTCAAACTGATGAAATCTAAGCGTAGTTTCAGAATTGTTTTCTTTTGAAATGGATCTTTATATAAATCAAGTTTGAGAAACACTCCTTACCCTCATCTGTCAGTATCTAAGGTATAAAAGGTTTGTATGAATAAATCTTCATTAAAAAAAATTATAAAATTGGAGGCACTCAGGCAAGGTATTTCTGGCATAATTATTTCAATTTCTAAATTTGCTAGGATGGACTTCCGTTTCCTTCCATTAAGGGGAGCTGTGTGACTGGATCATATGATGATGTAGAGCAGAGGCCACATATGGGTGGTCCACAACCCATTTGTTCTGGGCCTACGTGTTGGTCTGAATGGGGAGCTATAAGGGCCCTGGGAATGCACTGCCTAAGGGGATTAGTTCTGGCCACTACCTTTGTGATTTCCGAGGCCAGCACGCCCCCTGCTGGGCTTGGGATGCATGACCTGCCCCAGGACTTGAGAGTCTTAACAGTTAGATTCTTATTCATGGATTGTCAACTCTTAAGATTATGCTGAAAGGGGACTTTTGGTTAGGTTTCAGATGTTAACCATTGCTCAAATTAGAGCTTTACTGAGAGGAGATGTGTTCTTGTCTTCCCGTATTCCTTAAGCAGTTTCTGCTCTAATAATCTGCCCTCACCATGGTAACTTCAAATACAGGGAAGTCATGTGGGTATCCCAAAGGCCTGAGTTTTATTGCCAACAGTGTCACCTCTTCATTTTCTCTGTCCTCCTTCTCCTCTTTGTCTGTGTGCATCTTCCCCTCCACAACCAGTGCGTAACCTCAGCTGACCACAGGAGAGCAAAAACCAGGCCTTCATGCCTGAGGAGGATGTTTGCTCCCAGTTGTGTTCCAAAGATCAGTATAAATTCTTTCAGTTAATCTACGATTCACTGTCAGCTTGTCCTTTTCCTTTTTCCTCAAAAATGAGTGATCAGTTAAGGCTTAACACTAATTTTTTTGAAAACCACACAAATAGACAACCAAGCCTAAGGCTTAAATCATTCACCAAAAGCTTTAGGAGTTCAGGCTTACTGGGCAGGGTTGATCTGAATTAACATTTGAATTAGATTAAAAATTAATGAATTTAATTTTCAAAAACAGTTCCTAGAATGAGACCAATTATTATTAATTTAAGGAGATCTTTGGAAGATAGATTTAAAAAAAAAAAATTTTTTTTCAGCGTTTATTTTTATTTTTGGGACAGAGAGAGACAGAGCATGAACGGGGGAGGGGCAGAGAGGGAGACACAGAATCGGAAACAGGCTCCAGGCTCTGAGCCATCAGCCCAGAGCCTGACGCGGGGCTCGAACTCACGGACCGCGAGATCGTGACCTGGCTGAAGTCGGACGCTTAACCGACTACGCCACCCAGGCGCCCCTGGAAGATATATTTTAATGAGTAGATAGGAAGCATTTAAAATAACTCTATCAGTAATTAAAAATGTAGGTGCCTGGGAAGTTTCTGAGCACATCTAACAATGATATAACCATTTTATTAACATTTATATGCCTTATGAGTTTGTATAGTTGATGCAAAGTGAACTTTGACACTTGATAGATTTTCCAAATTCTGGTGTTTTCACTGTCATTCAAAATATGTTACTGTATTTCCTGTCACTGAAATGAATACTTACCTAACCAATTTGACTTTAAATCAGGAAAAAAAATTGAATTGAGCATTTCCGTAATTAATTTTTTTTACTTTATCTCTTCTGTCCTAAATTATTCACTCTGTGTTTATTATCTCCAAGCAATATTATGTGTTTCATTCACTAATACCATTTAAAAGCTTAAATACCATGTTTCTTCCAAATTATGGGAAGTTTTGTGCTTCAATGAGTTGGCACAAATTGACACTTTTGAAGTATTTTATTCCAGTACAATATTTAAATGTTACAGTATTTCTAAATTTTAAAAAACCCTGTAGAATCACTTTTCAGTGACAAGAGTGTAGTTTCAGAAAGGAAGCTAACATTAAGCATCTCCTTCCTTCCTTAAGAAAAATTTTGCTTATTACAAATTGGAAAATGAGTTTCATGTTGTGTTAGGCATAAAGGGAGAGCAAATCCCTTTACAAATCAACAGTTTGGTTTTATTAGAAAATATGTAATTATTTATAGAAAATGAAAATTTGTTTTATCATTTATCATTAAAAATTTTTTAAATGTTTATTTACATTTGAGAGAGAGAGACAGAGCGACAGAGCCTGAGTGGGGAGGGGCAGAGAGAGAGGGAGACATAGAATCCGAAGCAGGCTCCAAGCCCCAAGCTGTCAGCACAGAGCCCGACGTGGGGCTCGAACCCATGAACCGTGAGATCATGACCTGAGCTGAAGTTGGAGACTTAACCGACTGAGCCACCCAGGTGCCCCTTATCATTGGTTTGCTTCTAAAAAAATACTATACATTTGGGACCCACAGTTAAGGTTAGTATTAGTTAAAAAACTGATTTGACCCATTTTTTCCCCACTTAACTGACTGGACTTTTAGTCACTCAGGCAGTCTGTGTTGGTATTCTCATGGAAGAATTAAAATAGACCCAGAGCTGCAGGTCAGACTGGAGCAGGAACTGGCAGCCTGGCAGCAAGCCCCTAATCTACTAACTAAGGGAGTTAAAGGTGAGCCAGGTGCCACATCCCTTGGCTTCCTGCAAGGCTGTATTTAGTAATATTCCCTGTCCTCAAACAGAGGGAGTATCACCAAATACTATTTTGTAGGGAGCCACACCGAACTGCGGATGCCCCCATCGGCCTCTAGGTTTGCTGGCAAATCTACCTGTTGATTCAGTCCTTCGTTCCTAAGATAATGTTTTCTTTTATAGTCTATATAGCATCTAAATAGCATTAGGTAGCTCTCCCTGTGTAATTCATCTGCCCTGTAGTTTATTGTTTGTAGCTTCTGCTTGTCATTGCTAGATTTTCAAAGGTGCTCACCCCAAGTCCCTGTACTGAACATGTACTCTTGTCCCAATTACACAGTGTTCTCCATGTTGGTTTTAGGAGCTAAGATGAGCTGAAACCCAGGCTCCAGGGACACGGCAGATATCATATCTTGGCATTTGCTTCTCCTTTTACCATTGTATTATTAATTTCATTTACAAAAGAAGGTGAATAGATCATTTGCACTTACCAAAAGTCTTTACATGATGTCATTTCTATCAGAAGAGAACTTCAAAAAAAAAAAAAAAAAAAAGGAAATTAGCATTGTCAGTTTTCAGCTTTTCATCTTATGACAGTGAACATGAGTTACTAAGTTAAATCACAGTATCTAAGATTAAAGTATGATTTAGATTGTGTTCCTATTTTCTTCAAGTTAATTACTTTTGTTGTCAAGTGGTGATTTCCAAACTTCTGTAAGTAGCAGAGCTTAGATGGCATCTTGTCTGAAAGTGAAGCTTGCACCAAACATAGATCAGTGGTAGCTCTGATGGGGTTGGGGCTTGAACGAGAGCCTTTCTCCTCCCTGCCCCCCAACCCAACCACTTCCCTTAATCCCACCTCCACCCCACCTCCACCCACCTCTGCCTCTCTCCGGCTACATCCCCCCCCCCCACCCCGGCTGCACCTACCTCCACCTCTGCACCACCCCGAGCAGTGACCTCCACAGGAGCCCTACTTCTCAGTTTACTGTGTCTGAAAATGTCTCCTTTGGGACCTGTTTCCAGGGAATTTGGGGTCCTCTGGAATGGTTTCTGTTTAATAAAAACAAATTAGGGGGGAAAAGTATATCCAGAGGGTACAAAACATGGCAGACCTGTTTCTTCCCAAATCTTTGCTTCTTTGAATATCAGGAACACTGAGACAGTTTTCCAATAGACATTTTTTACAAGAGCCTTTACTAATCTTGAAGCATGTGACAAGACCCCTTTTTAGCCAACAGCCTCAGATTTCCAGCTATTTATATTGGATATGCAAGTAGAGATCCTTTCAATATGTGAAGTCAAGTGGAGGCAGCTACCAAAAAAGCTTGCTCTAGTGTTGGCCTAACACCCCCTCCTCACCTTTCCCTACATACACAAATCCCTTCAAATGCTATTCTTTTCATAGCAAAAGTGAATCCTTCATTTGGACAAATGTCTAAAAACAAAGTGA